CACATGCCCCCCAACACCCGGTCGCCCCCTCCCCTCATCCCTCCAGTCAGCCCCGTACTCCAGGAGAGTTGTTAGCTCTTTTCCGGTATCCTCGTGATCCCTACACCGTGGAGCAGGCGCGTGCCGGGGAAATCTTTGAACAAACTCTTCTGCTGATCCAGAACCACGTCAACCAGGGTCTCATGGTGGACACCAACGGAACAGGTTGGGCTGAAACCAGATCTACTCTTTCTTTTATTCTTCAGATTTAGACATAAATATATGTGTATAAATATATATCTATGTATATATATATATGTCTGGATTTACTTTAAACTTGTATTAAAGTGTGATCTGGTCTGAGACACTGGACTGTCCTGTCATTGGCTGGTGTGAGCCAATGAAGCGACAGGTGTATATTGAACCATATGTGTATATGTATATATGTGTATATATGTGTATATATGTGTATATATGTATATGTGTGTATATGTATATATGTGTATATATGTATATGTGTGTATATGTATATATGTGTATATATGTGTATATATGTGTATATATGCATATGTATGTATATATGTGTGTATATATATATACATATATATACACTATATGTGTGTGTATATATATATACATATATATACACTATATGTGTGTGTATATATATATATACACATACATATATATATATATTAATTAATGAGCAGAAGGTAATATACACATTCCTGGTCCTGTTTTCCTACATGGTAGTCGGTAGCTTCAGCACAGCGCCACCTCTGTGAAGGAAGCTGTTGTATTTCTCCAAAGCTGAAACATTCTGCTGTCGTGTGTCAGGGCGTGAACGACCTGCGTCGGCCCGTGGGAGTGAACGCTGGAGTTCACTGCTGCTGCAGGGCGGAGCCTCTGGCACATGGTCTCTGCTGATTGTTGTAGCCAGTTTACCCAGCAACAGGAACAGACCCTGAAACAGCTCATTGGTAGAAATGAGTGGGAGGGTTCTTCGAACCTTCCAATCAGACGTTAGGCTATCAAAACAAAATGATTTTAGTTTGTAAATTTAGACCCAATCCCTGTATGTAGTTTCCAACCTTGACTTTCCACCGATGGAACAGCACAGGGTTAGCAGTCAGTTAGCTGGTCCCTGGTCCAGAACCAGGTCTGAGAGCCGGCCTAAATACTGAAGAGACACTACTGCAGTACTGAGGAAAGGACATGTGTTTACAGCTACTGCAAGTCTATTAGAGTATATATGAATTATTATTAAAAGCTAAATAAATTCCACAGTCTTTCCTGTCTGGAAACTGTTAAGTGATTTACCAGCAGAGCAGAGGTCTCAACAACGATATATAAATGTATGTATATATTATAAATATACATACATATGTATTTATACTGTATACGTGTGTGTATATATACTGTACACAGAGGATACATTTAAGTTCATTGTGTGCAGTGATGTCACAATGACAGTAATTCACTTTAAAACACATTTTTATTTTGTTATCGGGTTTTTTAATTATTAGAATAAAAACAATAACGATTCCTACCGATGTTACATAGTGTAATTATGCTAATATCAGCAAATGACATTCGTTGGTTGATATTATCAGACATCCATAATATAATATAAATGTGTGTATATATATATATAAATATATGTATATATATATATAAATATATATGTATATATATATAAATATATATATATATAGATATAGATATAGATATATAATATATATATATATATATATATATATATGTATATGAGCCAGACTACAAACACATACACTCCATACACACATTTGTGTGTAGTTCGGCTGGTTGTCCCTGGTACAACACCTGGTCCAGGCCCAGCATCACTGACAGAACGACAGGTTTCAGCAGTTTTTCTGTTTTGTCTCTTCTGTTTACAGCCTTTCGTTACAACGACTTGGTGTCGCCACACTTTTTGGACGTGATCGCCAACCTGTCCGGCTGCACGGCCCACCGACGATTCAACAACTGCTCCGATATTTGCTTCCACCAGAAGTACCGCAGTCACGATGGCACCTGCAACAACCTACAGCACCCAATGTGGGGCGCCTCCCTCACCGCCTTTGAACGCCTCTTGAAGTCCGTCTATGATAACGGCTTCAACCTTCCCAGAGGAACCACAGAGCGGCTGCACAATGGATACAGGCTGCCGCTGCCCAGGCTGGTGTCCACCACCATGATCGGGACGGAGACCATCACCCCTGACGACCGCTACACTCACATGCTGATGCAGTGGGGTCAGTTCCTGGACCATGACTTGGACTCCACGGTGGCTGCCCTCAGTCAGTCACGCTTCTCTGATGGACAGCTCTGCGCTCAGGCGTGCACCAATGACCCGCCGTGCTTTCCCATCCAGTTCCCTCCCAATGACCAACGGCAGTTGCGGAGCGGGGCTCGCTGTATGTTTTTCGTCAGGTCCAGTCCCGTCTGCGGCAGCGGGATGACATCTCTGCTCATGAACAGCGTTTACCCGAGGGAGCAAATTAACCAGCTGACCTCCTACATCGACGCCTCAAATGTTTACGGCAGCTCACGCCATGAATCCGAGGAAATCCGGGATCTGGCCAGTCAAAGGGGTCTGCTCCGTCAAGGTATCATACAGCGTACAGGTAAGCCCCTGCTGCCGTTTGCGACAGGTCCGCCGACGGAGTGCATGAGGGACGAGAACGAGAGCCCCATTCCGTGTTTTCTTGCGGGAGACCACCGCGCAAACGAGCAGCTAGGCCTGACGGCCATGCACACGGTGTGGTTCAGGGAACACAACCGCATAGCCACGGAGTTACTGAGACTGAATCCCCACTGGGATGGAGACACCATCTACCATGAAGCAAGGAAGATAGTTGGAGCCCAGATGCAGCACATCACCTACAGCCACTGGTTACCAAAGGTAACGCCCGTTCTCTCTGCTCTGTAGTTCTGCTCAAGTATGGGTTTTTTTTTTCTAAATCCTGTTCCACTTTTCTAGATTCTAGGTGAGGCTGGTGTGAAGATGATGGGACCGTACACCGGTTATGACCCCAACATCAATGCCGCCATTTTCAATGCCTTTGCGACTGCTGCTTTTCGCTTCGGCCACACCCTGATCAACCCGATACTGTACCGGTTGGATGACGACTTCCAGCCCATTCCACAAGGACACATCTCCCTGCACCGCGCTTTCTTTTCACCGTTCCGCATTGTGAACGAAGGCGGCATTGACCCACTGCTGCGTGGACTCTATGGCGTTGCTGGTAAAATGCGTGTGACAACTCAGTTGTTGAACACAGAGTTGACAGAGAGGTTGTTCTCGATGGCTCACGCTGTGGCCCTGGACCTGGCTGCCATGAACATACAGAGAGGAAGGGATCATGGGATACCGTCCTACAACGACTACAGGACCTTCTGTAACCTGACATCTGCCCAGACCTTTGATGATCTGAGAAACGAGATCAAGAACCCGACCGTCAGAGAAAAGTTACAGAGGTGGGTCAACGCAGCAGGTCAGGACGAGGACAGAGAAATGGGTTTCATAAAGTTTTTCAGAAGATCGGTTCTGGGAGAACCTGCATGTAATGACCAGGGATGACCCATATGAACTTTTTGCCAATGTCCGATCTGCTGATATTGTCCAAACACTAAATTCCCGATACCGATATCAACCGATACTGATATATGCAGCTGTTTGCCCCCCCCCAAAAAACTGTGGTAAACGTCTAAAAACCCTAAAAGAACACAACACAGGCATCGGGTTATCGGGTTTTCATTATCGGAGGAAATACCGATAACGATTCTTACAGATGTTACACAATATGCTAATACGGGGTCGATATTATCGGACATCCCTAACCATGACACATTCTGTTTGTTTCCTGTTGTCAGACTTTATGGCACTCCACTGAACGTCGATCTGTTCCCCGCCCTCATGGCTGAAGACCTGGTCCCCGGCAGCAGACTGGGGCCCACCCTCATGTGCCTGCTGGCGGCTCAGTTCAAACGTCTGCGGGACGGTGACAGGTACAGTGTACAACACACACACACCGGACCTCACACACATTTATTGTGTCTCTAGGTGTCGCGGGGGGGAGATACCATAATGCTTGAGCAATAATCAATCCTCCAGTCACTAGGTGGCAGCAGCTCATACAGTGGTTTATAAAAAAGACAAAATTAAATGGGAACCTGCCGAGATGATTGAGTTCAGCAGAAGGTTCTGCCCCCCC